CCCAAGATTTAATGTGTTCTGTTCAGGAGATTCTTTGCGGAGAAACCAAACCAAACCATCGTTTTTTTTTTTCCCATGCCGGCATACACACACACACACACACACACACACACACACACAAACGCAGCTTGCCAAGCAGTCTTGCCTGGCAGCATGCATGTTTGACCTGGTATTCCTCTGGCTGAGCTCCTATCGGGGGTCAGGGCCCGCCGCGTTTGGGGCACCAGCGGTCACACAGCGTTTGGTCGGGTGTCATTCGGCTCCTCCTCGACCCTGCGCTGCTCTCAATCATTCCCTCAGCAGAGGGGTCGGCCTCCGGTTCCTCCCTGCCCCACATCCGACTGTGGGACCGGGAGGAACCAGAGGCAGCGAGTGGGGCTCCGCACTCATCCGATCAACAGCCCAACCCCCACCCCCCCGGCCCTCCTCTGGAGTGCAAATTTTCGGAATAACGCTTGCAAACTGTACATCTTCAACGGTGTCAAAGCCGGAACACGATCTCTTTTGGGAATAGATATTTCCTCCACAGCCGAAGCGTTCTGTGACGGAGCCCCGTGTCCCCAGGTATTTCAGTTTTTCGCTCAAAGTGGATAAGAGAAACATAGATAAGAGGAGTCTTATGGTATGTATGAATTCATGTATGAGGACGCTGTGGAGAAAACCCACCAGAAACCAAAATGTCTTCCCTCCATTCAACATGTGGTGGTCCCAATTTACATTTCAGTGAATCTGCGGGCCCATATTTCCCTTCAATTGCGTCCTGTGATGTTCCGCGACAATTAACATCCCGACTCTTTCTTCAGGTTTTTTTGAAAGCTCGGGGGCTAATTCAAGGGTCAAGCAAGACTTGCAAGCTGTCAATCTTTCATTGTAACTAGACTCTCCTCCCCCCTCTCCCCCCCCCCATCCCCCATTCAGGTTCTTTATTCTTTCCCCCTTCCCGCCCACCACCCCCCCATCCATTCTCCCGGACCTCTTTTTATAGAATGGCCCAACTCTTCTTCTATTCTCCTGTGGCCCTCTTAACAGCTAGAGAGGGACAACCGGGAGCTTTCTCTAAGGAGCCCGGCATTCTTTGACATCTGCCTCCGGTTTTCAAACCCCCGCTGGATTCCAATTTAGAAGTGTCCTTTTTAATTAGCCCCCCCCCCCCTTCATTCTAATAACCCCCTTCCTTGCATCCTTACAGTTACTTAGCCTTTTATTTATTTTTTTCCTTAAAAAAGATCCGCTTGGTTACTGCCACCCAAGTTTTTTAATCATAAAGCATTTGCTTGTATTGGGAACTAATAAGCACACGTATGATTAAAGCCGGTGTTGAGTACTTAAACTCATGTCGGCCCAAACAGTATATTTAATCAATGTGATTATTCTTGGGTCCCTGTCATCATCAACGAGTGTAAAAAAAACAGACCTCCTGTGTAAGAACGTAACACAAAAGACAAAAAGGCCGTTAAACAGTTGTTAATGTTTTAGCAATCTTTGCTCGACCATTGCAGAAAATTGCCTTCTGCGTGTGTTCTGCAGTCGAAGTAGCATCTTTCCGTCCATTCCCCACCCAAATCCCCCCGCCCTAACCCCCCCAAAAAGATCTATCCCCCAGTACAACAACTTGTTCTTACAGAAGCAGAAACCTGTTCTGAGATCAAGTCGAGGGCTATTTAAAAAAAAAAAAACAAGGTCTGATTGCCGTCAGTTTCTGTTTCAAGGCAGAGAGAGAAAGAATTCCCCCCCCCGGCTCAGAGGGAAGACCTCACCACGTTTAATGAGAACGGGAGTCTCCCTTCAGTCTGCGCCTTTGGTGTCTCAGCATGTTAAACACTCACAGCATGGTACCAAAATATATGAAAGTATATGACTGTTCCCATCGATTTACAGTGCACCCGTCCTCGTGTGCTACTGATCTACATCCTACGTTTGCTTTTCCCAGCAGGGGGTCCCGACTGCCTCGGAGGCAAAACTGTTTAACGGCTTTTTGTCTTTGCCCTGGCGTTCTGACACGGGAGGTCTGTTGTGCTCGCCGCCTCTTTTTTTTTTTACACTAAGCGATGATGGCAGGGATGCTTACATATATTTTTTTTACACATATTTAACCACAAACACTGGCCAGCCACCATGAGACGCATATCATGTGATGTAATGCCCGTTGTACTCGGGTATAGGGAACTTAATTTGAAAAACGCAGGGAGACGATGCTTCCATGTGATAATAGATTTGGGGTTGAGGAGGCAATGTGATTGGACAGAAGACTTTCAACTGTTAATTGGGTTTTGGGGACACTTAATCCACTGAATTAATCTGAATTGGGTTTGTCACATATCATCGCGTCGAGGTCGTAAACCAAGGAGGGAAAGCGTCGGCCTTTGAGTTTGCACTTTACAGGTATGAACCATCGGGGCTGTATTTTGATTCCGAACACGCTCCGCAGAGGCCACCGAGCGAACCAGATGCAAAAGGGAACCACATTTGATGAAAGGGTGACAAGTAATGGCGGAAAAATAAAACCAGAGAATTTTGAGTGACAGCTAAATTAATTGAATACTCGAACACCTCAAGTTCTTGTGCCGTTGGGAATCTGCTTTGTAAAATGTGAAAAACAATCATCACCGAAGACGTTTCTCCATTTGCACAGTGTATTCCTATTTCCTGTTGGCCTGTAAAGAAAGTAAATGTATATTTATTACCGGGGAGATTGGGTTATTGTGCGTTTCAGTCAACTGTTGCGTTCTGCGGTGAATGATTTTGTGCATTATGCAATGCTGATTGAATGGGATTATTATCCCTGGCTTGTAAATATGTGTGATCCAAGTACGCTCCGTCTAAGCGGACAACACAGTTGGTCTTTGTATGCACGGATGAAACTCCTTAAGGCGACGGTACACAGTATACTCATTGTATAATGCCTCGTTATACTTGCATGGACCTTTAGTGAAGACTGATTATTTGTAGCCACCAGCCTGATGAACTTAATTGGTGCCACATGCACTAATCAGCTAAAAGACCAGGGCTAGAGTTTTGTTGCAATCCAATTGAATCCATTACATTCGGTCTCCCTTATTATTTTTCATTTGTCGTGTCTCGTGACTGCATATTACTAAATGCACTGTGGCTGCGTGTTCTCTGCTCTTGTTAACCTCTTTTAAATGCCTCTAAATTTAGAGGTCTCAGGTGAGACGTAATGTCATACTGGATGAGCTGATTATGGCAGGCTTAATTACAACTTTGTTAGCTAATGTGCGAGCTTCGGCTTTCTTCTTTTTTTTTCTCTAGCTGATTATTGCGCTGCGTCTGAGAACTCACACAAAAACAGTTCAAAGATTCTTCAGGTCGGCGATATTCTCCCGAGCGGCGCATCCGGCACAAGCCGAATTTCGCAGCTCTGACTGCACACGATAAACACAATTTCCCCCGCCGTCTTTTCAGTGGAGTTCTCCTAGTCTGCTGCTAGTATTACGGAAAACACGCTGTTCCCTTCAATCTTAACAATCACAGGCCGCGAACACATTAAAATGGCATGTTGTTTTTGAGCTTGTGCTAAAAGGAAAGTAAAAAAAAAAAAAAAAAAAGCCTTCCTAATGGGGTCCTGTGTGTTCCGTTGCCGGAGCGATGCCACATCCCTTGGTGAATGTGCTACGGCTTCATGGGAGCGAGAGGAGTGAGCTCAGCCCGCCAGTGTAAACACACAGACAAAAGGGAGCCGTTAGTAGTGTGAAACGCATGCCTGGGCGCGCAGGTAGGCATTAGGTTTCACCCTGCACGGCTCCACCACTGAATCCATGAGGGGGGGGGGGGGGGGGGTTGCTTTTGTAAGCGAATGGGAGCAAAAACAAACATTCAAACAAACTAACACTAGAAGGGCAGGTATGGAAGAGCTGGGGGGAGAGAATATCCTGTTTGTGGAGATGTAAGGGAGAGCGCGGGGTAGGGGGGGGGGTGTTAGGCAAGGAGAGATAAGGTGGTTTGTGGTCAGCCACAACAGAGAGAAATGGCCATTTGCTCGGCAGTGTTTCTTTATTTGTTTGTTTGGAGAGGGCGCGGGGGGTGGAAAGTGTCCCGCAACATAAATCAGAGAGGAGAACTGTTGTGTTTGAACCTCTGCTGAAGTGGAAGAGGAATAAAAGTAGTAGGGAATTCTATAGAAAAAGCAGTTTATTGAAGATAATTATAGAATGTGGATGTTTAATCAACCCTTTCAGACAATCTAAAAATAACATTATTTCGAAACAGCGGACACAGTATACACCCACGGCTAATATAAAACACCTTTTTCCTTCCATTACCGAGAACAGGACAAAGCTAATGCAAACCATTATGACTGAGCAAGATGAAAAGCTTTTTGGCTAATGCTCACCAAACAATTACCCTGGATATTTTTTGCATTTAATGTTACTATTCAGATATATTTTTCATATTTCCTATTTCCAGGCGGTTCACAGAATCTTGACTAGAGCTGATCTGAATCTTCTACATGAGGGAAGGGTTTTTCTTTCCACAATAAAGCTAATTTTGATGGTGCACATGGTAAACATTGCTTTTAAATCCTTACTGATCTCTCAATTTGTGTTTTGGGAAAGGCAAAATCGTACCTAATTTTGAAATGCTCAAAAAGGGAATAAAAAGCAAACACAATTTGAAACAGCCTGACATGGTTAGCATCCCGAGGTAGATGGGTGGGGCGGGTCTTAACTGTTTGATGACTGCGCTGGTCCCACCCCTCACTGCCCTTTGAAATGGTTAGCCTTCAGCAGCCTTTAAGGGATTTCCCTTCTCAGGATTATTGACCTTCTGTGCTTATTTTAGTGCCTCTCCGGTGGGTTTGCAGCCTTTCACAGCTTAACGTTTGTCACATTTCTGCCGCGAGATGTAAACGCAGCATCAAGCGCCTTGCGGCAAGAGTGTGACGGGGGGAATTCCTCTGTGAAATCACACAGGGACACAGTTTGCCACGTGGAATACACTTTCATCCCTGAACTGAACAACTCTCTTGGTCTCCTCCACAGGTGAGAGGATCAATGATGAGCATCTCCGAGACCAGCTGGCTAGGACTTTCTTAATCAGAACCTTTTCAGTCTCACACACACACACACACACGAACCTGCCACAAACCATCAACGCCGGGCGCCATGGCATGCTCCCTGCTGAAACTACAGACCTTCTGCTGGTTTCTCATCACACTTGCCCAGGTGCACTCCACGGAGGGTAAGTACATATGAAAAAAATAAAAGTTGTTCTCTATAAACGTACTGATCTGCTCAGAATGCCATTCAGTTTCCAACCCAAAACAATTGTTGCTATTCTCTTAATAAGAACTCTAGCGTATAGCAGTGAAATTGTGACTCAAGCCTAAGCTGCTGCCCCCCCCACCCCCCCCGCGATTGCAGGCTGTGCTTGTGTAAGTAATGCTGCTCCGAGGACAGTGGGCACAGGCGGATGGGGGATAATCTTGAGTGGTTTCATTAGTTGGTAAATTGCGATTTGTCTGAGATTTTCTGCTTGAAAGCGTCAGTGGTTCCCAGTGGCATCAGAGCTGGATCCATTTGTAGATTCCCCGCTAAGATGTTTCGTCTCATGGCAGACGTGCACAGATTTCGCACCTTGAAAAAACATGTAAAAAGTAAAAATGTGAATGTATTTTAATCATGGTGAATTTAGCTTTTGTTAAACCACTCCTCATAGCATCCTGTAGATGCAAGTGTTTGACTAGAGGTGCGTTACGTTTCGAAGATTTGATTTAGAATAAAGTGACATCTTTGCAGTGGAATGTATCAAAAGCGTCACTGCAGATTGGGTTTGTTGGTGCCAACTGTTGTGGCTTGAGCCAACTGTTCAGGATACCTACTCCACTCATTTTTAAAACATACAGTAATGTAAGAATATTTATTCTAGTTGGGAAGGCATTGATTTATAAAGATGCTTCATACACTGTGGTGAGTCACACCATATGTTTTTCTTAACCATCATCTGGCTCGGATTGGATCTTTCAGAAAATAAGTGCTGGTCTCGATGGGCTTTAGTGGATTAAGAAAATCACATGAAAGTGGTTGGACATATGTATTACATGTCATGTCGGAACTTTAACGGCCGGTTTTTAGAAACCTTGTGCACAGATTACTGTTTGCAGTTTCCGAGTTTCTGTGCCCGGTTGATGCCTTTCTGGTTTGACCAGTCGTCTCCTAGAACTCTGTGGGTAGTATTTGAAAGCTGGAAGGTCAGTGAGGGATTTTGACGTTACACCGCTAACTGTTGATGCGAGGTCAGGGTGTATCGCGATGAGATTATCCTTGATAACGGGTCCTTTTCTCTATTTTGTTGTCTACTCGGAGCCACGTGTCCCTGTATGAAACTGCTATACTATCCTCAATATAGCACTTGCTAAATGCGTTAGAAATCCTTCTGGCGACCGTTAATTGGCTGTAGCTTCATTTGGGAAGGATGTCCGGTGCCAAGCTGGTGGTGACTCTCTCTGACTAATCTGCGCTTCGCCGTTTTTTTAAGCTCCACGTTGTACTATTGGCTCCGCTCGCTTAGAACCTCGACCGAGATGGTACAAAAAAAAACCCTACTTGGTAATATCCAAACATACAAAAGAATCTAAATGAAAGCAAATATTATGGCAGTAAGGAGTGAAGGTTGATTGGATTCAACTTTATTTTCATTGCGCACAGTACAGATGAAAAATGAGAAGGAAAGAAGGAATAAACGTGACAAAGGAGCAAAGTTATCTCTTGAGATTTGTCATTCACCTTTCTTCTTCTTGTCGGTTTCCCTCCCGTTCCCCATGACAACCACAGATATCGGTCCAGAAACAGGTCGTTACAAACAATATCCCCCAGTAAACATGCTTCATTAAACTGCGTCTACCCCTAATATCTTTTTAATGCATTTTTGTAATTGAATGAAATGAGTTAGTGAAAGGCTGTAAATAGTCTTAAGTTTGCCCCCCCCCCCCCCTTTGTTTTTTAGTGTTTAAAGGATGAGATACTCACAGCCAAGATTGACACTACAATCACAGCACTGGTTCGGCATCTACACACAACTGTGATCTGATGTCATTCCTCCTCTTTCATCTGCCCTTTTCCTTATTTCATCCACATCTGAAAAAAACACGTGTATGCGTCCGCAATTTTAGTTACTAAGAATGATTTGGCGTACCATTTTAATGATGCTTTTTATATACGCAAACAGTATGTGGAGTAGTGCTATAGATATCAAAGGAGCCCGAGGGACCCGTAGAGCTTTTTAACCAAAATACATGTATCTAGAATAAACAATGCTTTACTGGCAAAACCATTTGTTTTTCCGTCCCGTTTGTGAGCAGCTTCTCTTTATGCCGTATTATATTTTTTTTAGAGCTGCTGAAACACAAATGATTATCAGTGATAATACAGGTTATATTCACTGATTGTTCTCAGAATATACATTTGTCCCAGCGCTCGTGCAGTATGTCTGTAACCCTATAAAAACCCATGACGGCCCTGAAGTGACATGTGATTCTACTGCGCAGTAATCAATATTGAGATCAGTTCAGACATCAATTCAAACATTTTGCCAGTTTTACAATTTCATCAAATATAAATAATACACTTTACCGTGAATGTCATTTAAGACACTTCTTTCGCCCATCAAATCCAGTTTAATTATCACATGGATCAAAACACATGTTAAAACCGCTGCGGTTTGCTCTGAAGGAAGATTATTATTCCATCAGGGGTCGTCCTGGCTTCGCCTTAAAAGGTTTTCTTTTCTTGCCTCTTTTCTTGTCAGGGACTCCTGTCTTTATTACAAACTCTGGGTGTGGCGTTTGAGTGAAGTGGGGTGTATTGGGGATTAGGAACCAGTTTCTGTTGTGGTTTGCAAGGGACTGAAAGTCCGGATGCATCCGCCTTTGCTGCAGCAATGTTAACCTTTTTTTTCCTTAAATGTATGGTAGTGAAATGCTGAATTGTTCCATTGCCTCTTTAAATCTCATTACACAACACTCCTTCATTGAGTCATTTTCCACTCCGATAAGGACTTTATGGTAGAGAGGTTGGTGAGAAGGTACCAGACATCTATGGGTATCACTTTAATTAGGATGCGTTACTCTCACCTGCTTTGATATTGTTTTGCATCAATAAAAGTTTGCCCTCAGGCATTCAGAGGGATCTTCTTTGAAGCTGCAGGTTTATTCCCTTTTGTCCTGCCGTTGTCCTCTGCGGATGTCACCATAGCAACCCACCAAAAATGAGATGAAGTCGTAATTTATGAAGTAGTAATGTAAAAACCAATGTGATTTTCCTCACCAACACATGCTCAAATTGGCTCGCATGTCTTCCAAAATAATTTGACCAAGTCTAGTGGGGTTGAAAGGATTTGTCTGTATCAGCAACAGAATAACAAGTAACACCTAGCTCAGGCACACACTCTCTTCAAAGGCTTTCCAGAAGAGTTTTAGAATTACAGTGAGACAGAATTAGAGAGCAGAGCAAGGATTTTGTGTCAAGAGCTGGCAGGGCAATTTTTGCAGCATGCTAGAATGAGTGCCAAGTACATACCGGTAGAAAATGGGTCTGGTGTTACCTTGGTGCTGAGGCACTCGTCTGACTTGTGATCAACTTTATGGTTTCAAAATGGTCGGTGATGAAAAATAACAATTTCTCGAGCGTCTTTGTTATATGGCAGTTTGAGGGTTGCAGTATATAACTTTTAATTGGTAAACAGACATCTATAGAAGTCCATCAATACTTAAACGTTGTCATTCTGTGACTTTGGGGACACGCAGAGTATGCCATGATATAAACGCTGCGTTTCCGTAGCTGAACTTGTTTCAACAAGTCTGACACGGAGAATTTCTGTTCCCTCCGTAAACCCTGAAACCACGCCATTGTTTCTCCTCAAAGCGTGAAATGTTTGAAGCACTTGAGATTTCTCAAGGGCAACAGGGAAGGGCACCTTTTTAAAAGTCCTCTTTTTGTACCATGTGAAAGGAAAAGAGAAGAGACCTTCAAGTCAAAGTGAATGGAGTGAAATAGACAATCAAGGTGTTCGGAAATGTAATTATTGGAAGTAAAAGCCACGGGCTTATTGTGAGACCAAACCCACAGGAACAGGATCCAGCGCCTGTGAGTGCTCTGCGCCACACCTATTTGCTCTTTCTTGCCTTTTCTTAGAACCACAAAATCATATTTATAGACGGTCCTGAAAATGGGCATTGCTTCATTTTTGCTAGGCTATAAACACTTTGTGCACTCAATACACACCTAACTGTATTAGGGCGGGCTGATAGTGGTCATGGAATTCAGATCAGTCTCTAGCAGGTAAATCCAATCCGCTATACGTCCAGGAATCATGAGCATATTCTACAGAGGCAAAGATACTGTATCTGTCCTTACCGATATTCCGCTTTTCATTCTTTCCTTTGGGTGCCTCTTTCCCAGCAGCTTTGTCGTGCGTGTTATCTTAAGAGAAATCTGTCACGGGCCAGTGTGTGGAGCCGAGGCCTGGAGGCCTTTTGTTTCAAGATAGTCATTTGTGCCCGAGTTGTGTCCGAGGAAAATAATTGTTCCCCGCCGCGGTGCCACACTCCCGTTCCCAGACTACTTCCTTTGGTAATAAAGGTAGTTTTGAAAAGTCTGGCCCACTGCTAATTTGATTAAATAAACAAATCATTTCCTGGCTAATAACTATATGAAACACTTCTTTGCCCTTTTAATATTCTATTGGAGACTGCGCTAAAACAGTTGAGGTTGAAGAGGCGAATCTTTTCTTTGTCTTTGCGTCTTTAGTCAACAACTTCTGTCGTTTTTTTTGTCTTTCCATCTCCTGCTTGATGTCATTCTGTATGTTTGCGGCAGACTGTGGAATCTGGCCCTCCCGTGGAGCCATGCAGGCGTGGGGTCTGTGTACGGAGGCCCGCCGTGCTGTCATGTCTCTTTCATCGCCAGCCAGGCTTGGCCAATAAGGAGATAAGGAGACAATGAGTCGGAGAGCAAGCAGTGGCAAGGTGTAACGGCAGCCCCCGGGTCTCCTCCCTGCAGAGCACTTCAAATCCTCATTAGGATTTTCAGCAAAGGAATGAGGGATTTTCTGGATTAGGGCTTTGTCACTGGTGGCTCCATGTTGGTATTTGTCATGCAAGAGCATTGCGAAGCTATTGACATTATGCCTTCCTCCTACCAAACAAAGCCCCCCACGCTCCCACCCCCTCTCTGACCCCTCCC